GCTAGGGAGAGTGTTCGACTCAAACGACTGACTAAAGTCGTGAACTGAGAACATACTCTTACACACGACATCCGGAGTAAGAAAGATTTGTTAAAGATAGATCTCTTCTCTATTTCACAAAATACTTCTTACAGTTTTAACACAAATCCAAAGCTATATTACACCTTTTTCCTGAGATATCTATCACAGGGTACGAAGACTACCAAGAAGGCCAACGCCAGTCCATAGACTGGAAGATCTTCTCCGCCAACGGCGCCATCGACCTCGCCAGGTGGTCTATCTCCGCCGGAGTCCTCCGAGAATGAGCAAAACCCTCACGGAGAAAATCGAGGTCCAGGTGCGGGCGATGATCTCGTAGGCAAGCCAACACGTGCCCTCCGGCATATCGGCTCGATCGACGACACTCCTGCTTCAAGGCCTCGTCGATACGCTTGCCGACGCCATCGAGTTGAGCACATGCTCCGTTCAGCCATGAGATGTATCCGGCCGCCGACTCCTCGGGATCTCCATGGGGCACTCGAAGTTCTCTACAGACCTTGGCCATGGATGTGCAGCAACTCTTCAAGTACGAGTTGAACCACACCTCATGACCCCGGAGCGTTTCCACAGCCTGCTCTTTCTTCACTGCAAGCATGGTTCTCTCGAGTTCCGCTACTTCAAATTTTGTCTTCCAATATTGGATACGACGATCTTGGCCAGCAAGAGCACTCTCGAGATCTGCTCAATGTGGGAACAACTAAGTCAAGCTACACGCCTCTTTCGAGAACATAGTTGATCTAGTCGGAAGAGCAGAAAGGGATGAATGGGCTACTAACCTAAGGATGTCGTCGCCATCTCCGTCCCCGTAGCAAGGGTCTGGTCTACATTGTCGGGCGACGCATGTGGTTCAAACGCAAGAACCGGAATAATCGCTGGTGACTCGGGCTGCCCGCGCTGCTGGACATCCTCGTCATCAACATCTCTACAAGGGACAAAAGTTCTCAAGATCAACATACAAGAGTAAGCTAGAACAATAATTGCACGCACAAAGGCGATTAAGATTCAGTTTTACACAGCATGTCTTGGGAGTACAAGAGGTCCTACTCTTCAAAAAGGGGGAGAACAGATTCCCCCAGATCACCGACTTCTTCCATCACCTCCTTATGCGTGTTGCTAGCCGCCCCCTGATCCAAGATCTCGCGCAAATCGAGTTCAGGATGTGCCAGCTTTACACACGCGAGGACGTGGCACGCCCCGGTGTAGATCCCGTTCGACGTCTCCTCCCCGATCCTGGCCGCATGCTTGGAGGGGATCTCCCTCATCGCCGCCGCCAGCTCCGCAAGAGAAGATGTAAGCGAGAACTCGTCGGGATTCGCCGGGATAGTAGACTTAATGCCGCACTCCCCGGCAAGCTGGTGCAGGCCAGTGTGTGTGACCCGCAATGAGCCACGGATTTCCGACAGGTTGTTCCCGAGCTTCGACATGCGGTCCTCGAGCCCCTGCCGTTGTCGCTCGTTGCCGGCCACCAACTCCCTCATCTTCTTGAGGTCTTCACGAGCCTCCGCCAACTCGCGTACCTGCCGGTCAGCACACTCGTTCGCCGACGCCGCTGCCGACCTCGCCTCCGCAATCTCACGGCCAATGCCGGGAGCACCAGCCTCGAGGAGGCGCCCCATCTCGACCTGGAGCTCCTCCCAGGTGAGGATGGCCGCCGGTGGACCACGACCAGCCGCAGGATTGCTGACTGGGCCGCTTGGTGTCGCCTCGCGTCTCCCGGGCGCAAGCACGACATCCGTCGAGGCTGCAGTGGGAGACACGCCGGAAGTCCCTCCAGACTCGTCTTGCACCGCCTTCGCCCGTGCCGCCCTATGAGATAGCTATGGTTCAGATAACACTCGAACAAAATCACGGAGACTTAAGTTCATCTACTTACTTCTCGCCAACCGTCACAAGACGTTGTCGTCGTGGAGGCGGTAGAGACGCGTCCGAGGCCTGAAAAACGGTCGATGCGAAGTAAGGCGAAATTCTTCTGGTTGTACGATCTGATGACAGGATAGCTTACCGAGGGGGTTGATGCCTTGCGACGATGTCCGCTTACAGAGGAGAACTTCCTCCCCTTTGTCGGAACATTGCCACCACTTGTGGTAGCAGCAGCAGCATCAGACGCCTCCTTGGCGACCTTCTCTTTCAGAGATGCCGTCACCTGATGGTCCGCGAGTGGCCCGATGATGTCAGTCAGAGGAAGAGCCTACGCTTAATCAAGTCATAAAGTGATCTCAGAAGGAAAACGCAGGATGCCTATCGAGAACACTTACGTTGATGGCAGCATCACGTTTGGCCGCCCCCTTTTCACAAAGGGGAACGGGGATGTTACTCGCCGTTGCCAGGCCGCTGATCATCACCTGGCTGACACGACGTCCCACGGTTTCGCTGTTCAGTCCTGTGAATCGAGAACCAAATTTTGATAAATCAGGAGGAACGTGGACACGAGCATGTTAGGATAAATGCAAGAAAGATACCCCGAGGAGAAACCCGGGTCGCGTCCTCCGGTCCGGAATAGTCAAAGGCTGGGTGGACTCGAGCCTAGAGCGGCTGGATCCGTCTACCAATGAAGTCTGCAGCGACTTCATACCCCGACAAGCCTCATACTCGGAGATCGTCGACAATGTCGATGAAGGATTGGAGAGAAGGGGTCAAAGGGGGCTTTGCGGTCCAAGACGGGATCTTGTCCGGTTGTTCCTCAGGAACAACAAAGACAGGGTCCGAATCTTTGATCTGAAGGTAGAACCACCTCGTCCACCACTTGCTGCGAGAAGAGGGACACTGGAAGGGGATGTAACGCGACTTCAGGCCATCCCGAAGTCGGAACCCGACGCATCCAGACACCCTGTTGGGCTCCATCCAACGCAGCTCATAGTAGAAGCGAAAGAGATCGAGAAACGGCTCTACCCCAATGTAGGCCTCACAAAGATGAGAAAAGATGCTAAGAAAGGCGATGGAATTGGGGTTCAGGTGGAGCAGAGAAAGACCGTAGAAGTTCATGACTAAGAGAAGAAATTCGGAAGGCGGAGGGAGAAAACCGCAGAGAATGTAGTCTTCAATCGCAACCATGCGACCTAAGACGGGCTGGGGATTAGTACCTCCTGCTTCCCTTTCCATGGTCCCACGACCGGGAAGGGCGCCGTCTTCCTGAATCTTCTTCAGCGACGCGCTGGTGGAGGATGATTTGCCAAGATCCATCGTCGATCGGAGATCGCCGGAGAAGGGGCTAAGGTCGACGAACTAGGGTTTCTTGTGGAAGCGGAGAAGACTAAGAGCGTTTGCAGGCGGGATGTTTTCTGCACGATGGGCGGACTTCAAAATGGATCCCCAAAATTCCTTTAAAGAGACGCACTACCGACGGTGCGAATTCCAAGGAACGGAGAGAGATGCCCGCCGAAAATTTCTGGGTCCGTTACGCGCAACAGTTTTTTGGACTTTAGTTTAAATTCGCTCGTGACCATTGGGTTTCAAACGGTGTTCTCGACTACGTCATGTCTCTACGGTCCTCGCACCAGGAACGACAACAATCTCGACACAGGAAGTCGCGAATGGTTACACGAGCTCATTTAAGCAGAAGTCGGGGGCTACTGTCAGGGTTACGGGTTAGGTATACCCTTTACTCTTTGATATACGTCTCATATCGGTATGGTATACCCACGCGTATACGGATACTCTCCGCATATATTAAGGAAACCCCTCACGGAGTTTACAAATGGAAGGAGTCATACTCGGACAAGACTGGGTCATCAATGTATCGTGTAAAGTTCGATGTTTCCGAGTTCTACTTGGAAACCGCCTAACCTGTGATATAAAAGGGACCCCCCGGGGAGGGCCTGAGGCATCGAATCTCAGAGCCAACACAACCCTCACAGCATATGAAGTCGGAGCCTACAAGGAGCCAAACCGCTAGGGATCTAGTCGAACCAACTCGACTACGATCTCGCCGGATCCGTCGATTTCCATTGTTCCCTTTGTAACCTGTGTTTTCCATCATATAATCCCACATCAACTGGATTAGAGCTATTACCTATCAAGGGGCCTGAACCAGTATAATCTTTGTCTTTTGTCTGCTTGATGTCGTATTACGTAGATCCTTGTACCAGCGTACCCCAATAACCTCTATATCCGGCCTACGGGTATCACCCATCGACAACATGCAAGATCAAATTCAACTTCTACATGTTACAACAAAAATAACAAATTAAACTGAAAATAGTTATCGCATATTCGCAACTATATTTGTTATTTTTGTTACAACTTGTAGAAATTAAATTTAAAGTTGTTTGTTTGTGGAGTGATATATCTTTCCCCCTGTAACTATAAGTGGATTAATCGAACTGTACCGCTAGCATCCTGTAGTGTAGCAAAGTTAGCTAGCAGTTCTACGCGGGAAGGAATCGCTGGTTTTCTTCACTGACCCGTTATCTGACCTCATCGACATGGCAAAATGAAGAGCCAAGCCAAGCGTGTTGACCTCAAATTATTGACCTTAATCACTTACTTTAACCATTTATCTGTGGTATTTTTATCTCAACGATCATGCATGAACGCAAAAAACAAACCCAAAATATATTGTACGTGTAGGTGCGGCTAGGTGCACACTCCTGCACAAGTTGTAACTTACTCCCTCCGTTTCACAATGTAAGTCATTCTAGCATTTCCCATATTCATATTGATGTTAATGAATCTAGACATATATATCTATCTAGATTCATTAACATCACTATGAATGTGAGAAATATAAAAATGACTTACATTGTTAAACGGATGAAGTAATTCCTTGGATGCAAACGCTACTAATACAAAATGTTTGTGCTCTCTAATCGATGAACATATTCGTTCAAAAAAAAATGATGAACAGATGACAAAGTCAGAACTTTAATTTGACTTTACCTTACCAGGCTGTACATACTTGCGTTGTAACCTCTGTAGTAAACTGCACTAGATTAGCCTTGATAACTGATAAGCATTGCAGATCATGTATAAATGAGTAGCTCATGAACTGAGCAAGAAACCAATTAGCGTCGTGGTGATTAATTAATGGCGAAGGCAACGACTGGCATCTGCCTCGTTGACGTCATCCTCTTCTCGTTCTTCCTCGTTGCTCCCAGAGCCTTCGCCGCCGCCGCGGCCGTTACCGACACGCTCCGCGGCGGCCGGAACATCACCGACGGCGAGACGCTCGTGTCGGCCGACGGCACGTTCACTCTGGGGTTCTTCTCCCCCGGGGTGTCAGCCAAGAGATACCTCGGTATATGGTTCACGGTCTCCCCTGATGCCGTTTGCTGGGTGGCCAACCGAGACAGCCCTCTCAACGTCACCTCCGGCGTGCTGGCGATCAGCGACGCCGGGATCCTCGTCCTGCTCGACGGCTCCGGCGGCGGCCATGTCGCGTGGTCGTCGAACTCGCCCTACGCCGCCTCGGTGGAGGCGCGGCTGTCTAACTCCGGCAACCTGGTCGTCCGTGACGCAAGCGGCAGCACCACCACGTTGTGGCAGTCGTTCGATCACCCGTCGAACACCTTGTTGCCGGGCATGAAGATGGGCAAGAACCTGTGGACCGGGGCCGAGTGGGACCTCACGTCGTGGCGCTCGCCGGACGACCCGTCGCCGGGGGCCTACCGCCGCGTGCTGGACACCAGCGGCATACCGGACGTTGTCCTGTGGCAAGACGGCGTCGAGAGGTACAGGTCGGGGCCATGGAACGGCCGGTGGTTCAGCGGCAACCCGGAGGCGGCGACGTACACGACGAACCTGATCACGTTCCAGGTGACCGTCAGCCCGGGGGAGATAAGCTACGGCTACGTCTCCAAGCCTGGGGCGCCATTGACGCGCTCCGTCGTGCTCGACACCGGCGTGGTGAAGCGGCTGGTGTGGGAGGCGACGAGCCGGACATGGCAGACGTACTTCCAGGGGCCGAGGGACGTGTGCGACGCCTACGCCAAGTGCGGGGCGTTCGGCCTGTGCGACGCCAACGCGCCGTCGACGTCGTTCTGCGGCTGCCTCAGGGGGTTCAGCCCGACGTCTCCGGCGGCGTGGGCGATGAAGGACGCCTCCGGCGGATGCCGGCGAAACGTGCCGCTGCGCTGCGGCAACACGACGACGACGGATGGGTTCGCGTTGGTGCAGGGAGTGAAGCTCCCCGACACGCACAACGCGTCGGTGGACACGGGCATCACGGTGGAGGAGTGCAGGGCGAGGTGCGTGGCCAATTGCTCGTGCTTGGCCTACGCCGCGGCGGATATCCGAGGAGGCGGCGGTGGTAGCGGCTGCGTCATTTGGACCGGCGGCATCGTTGATCTTCGGTATGTCGACCAAGGGCAGGGTCTGTTCCTGAGGTTGGCAGAGTCTGAATTAGGTATGTGCTGAATTTTATCAGAGTGATTTCAGTTCTGCACGTCATTTCCAAGCACATTTCTTGGCTTAGCTGACACATTTAGTAAGGATCAGGTTCGATGTAATATTAACCATGGCTATCTATTGATGATTAACTCTGGAAAACTTTTGAGCTATGACAGATGAGGGTAGGAGCCGGAAGTTTATGCTCTGGAAAACTGTTATTGCTGCACCAATATCTGCCACGATTATTATGCTCGTACTGCTACTTGCTATTTGGTGCAGAAGGAAACACAAAATCTCAGGTAAAGTGCTATTCTCCAATGGCTTGTATACGCTTCACTTTTTTTTTTCATCGGCAACATTTGCTTCGGTAAACTCTAGTTTTGTGGTTTTTTTTTAGGATACTCTAAATCTGTGGTAAAATTTGACCATTTTTTAATACATCTTTTTTCCCATGAAGAGATAAAAACTTCACAAAAGATGATTTTATCCTTGAGCCACCTTAGAAGATTAAATCTGAACAAATTTTAGCTGAATTTAAATATATTTTACAAAATTCAAAACTTGTTCAAAACTACAAAAATGAGAATTGTTATATTTTAAAAATAGAAATTGAACATATATTGTCTGAGTTTAAACAAGTTTTTTAAAATGTTTTTCCACAATTTGGAATAAGTTTTATATTTTGCAAAATATGTTTAAATTCAAAAAAAAGCTTGAATTTAAATCTTGCAAGGTGGCCAAGTGTAAACTTGAGAAGATTAGGAATATACGCAAAACGAGGTGGGCCATTAGCGTATGATTAATTGAGTATTAACTATTTTAAATTATAAAAATGGATTAATATGATTTTTTAAAGCAACTTTCTTATAGAAATTTTTTGTAAAAAACGCACTGTTTAGTAGTTTGGAAAGCGTGCGCGTGAAAAACGATGTGTTTTCTCACCCAATATCACTGGAACGAACGCACTAGTTATATCTCACCATTGGAATAGGATATGTTAAAATAATAGTCAGAGCATATTCTGACTAACAACCATAAAATAAGAGTGTCTTGAAGCAAATGTCTGAGCAAATTTTGCCTTCTAGATTACGCTTACAGAAAGAACAAATTTAAGGTAAGCGTTAGACATTTCCCAGGAAGTTCCAGACCCAGACTGATTCTTTTTATATTGCAGAAGGTATACCTCATAATCCTGCTACAACAGTTCCTTCAGTTGATCTGCAGAAAGTGAAGGCGGCCACTGGAAATTTCTCACAGAGCCATGTGATTGGCCAAGGAGGATTTGGCATAGTTTACAAGGTAACCTCCTTTCCTTTTTCTAATTTCTACATGATAGAACATACTCGCTCGGTCATGATTCATGAACTCTTGACACTCGTGTGCTTCCATTTTTCTAATGAAAATTCCTTGTAGTGAGGTTGTCAAAGAGTCAATGTGGATGATTTTTTTTTGGAGGAATGTGGATGAAATTTATGTATTCTCAGTTGCTTACAATATAAATTGTATAATCTGTAGGGCCAGTTACCTGATGGGAGAATGATTGCTGTAAAACGGCTACACCAATCAACCCTCACCAAGAAAGGCAAGAAGGATTTCACAAGAGAAGTGGAGGTGATGGCTAGGCTCAGACACGGCAACCTTCTTCGTCTCCTTGCCTACTGCAGCGAAGGCAGCGAGCGTGTGCTGATATACGACTACATGTCAAACAGGAGTTTGGATCTCTACATATTTGGTACTTAGAGAAACGAATATACAGAAAAAAAAAAGGCTGCATTCTTACAGTTTATACAATTCTCGTATGGCATTTGCTAACTTGATGTACCTTGCACTGGCAGGCGATTCTGGCCTCCGACTCATGCTCAACTGGAGAAAAAGATTGGGCATCATTCATGGGATCGCCAATGGTATTGCGTACCTGCACGAGGGATCAGGCGAGTGCGTCATCCACAGGGATCTGAAGCCTCCGAACGTACTGTTGGACGACAGTTTCAGACCCAAGATTGCAGATTTTGGCACCGCCAAGCTATTCACAGCAGACCAGCCAGAGCCTTCCAATCTCACCGTTGTGGTTTCACCGTCAGTTACTTCACACCCTCCATTCTCTTGCTCATGAACAATCAGCCAACTGGTCATGTTTCGTAGTATTACTGTGTCACTGACATGGTCGAGTTACATTTCCATGAAGGGGATACGCATCTCCGGAGTACGCATGGCGAGGGGAGATGACACTAAAGTGCGATGTCTACAGCTTTGGAGTCGTTCTTCTCGAAACCCTTAGCGGACAGAGGAATGGTCCCATGTACAGTCTCCTTCCACATGTAAGCATCACCATATATACACCAAATCACCAAATATACATATACATTTGGATTAATTCACCAAATCGGCTTTGTGTGCAGGCATGGGAGCTGTGGGAGCAGGGCAGGGTGATGTCCCTCCTTGACGCGATGATCGGTCTCCCTCTCTCAGTCTCAGGGCCTGATCACACCGAGATGGAAGATGAACTGGCGAGGTGCGTGCAGATCGGGCTCCTGTGCGTGCAGGATGCGCCGGAGGAAAGGCCGGCCATGTCGGCGGTCGTCGCGATGCTGACCAGCAAGAGCTCACGGGTGGATCGTCCCAAGAGGCCAGGGGTTCACGGCGGCAGAAGCAGGCCACCGTTGCGCGAGTCGGAGCTGCTGGGCGCCACCGACATTGACGACGATCTCACGTAGTACAACTGTACAGGGTTATATATATAGTCCCTCCGTCTCTACGCCATTTACTTTACTAAACATGTTTTACCGTTCATCTTATTTAAAAGATTTAAGTAATTGTTAATTATTTTCCTATCATTTGATTTATTTATTATTAAATATACTTTTATGTATACATATATTTTTATATATTTAAAAAAAATTTCGAATAAAATGAATGGTCAAACGTGTTTAAAAAATTCAACGACGTCAGATATATTTAGGAATGGAGGGAGTATATGGGTTGTGCTGTTCTAGCTTCTATACGTGTCGAATCATTGAGCCAAACAGAAGTTTCTGCCGATTTCTTTTCCTTTTTTTTTCCTTTGCCAATCAGGCATGAACTGAACTACCTTGTCTCATTTTATATAGTACTCCCGATTTTAATGTTGCCATTCAAATCTGCAAGTTGTCAAGAATATACAAGATACTCGGAAGACAATGCCTTCCTCGCACACAACTCAAATAAAATATTTTTACACTCATTGACAATTATGGTACTACTAGTATTCTGCAGCAGTGCAAGTGACTACTGACCATTCGCATGCTCCAAAGTCCAAACGGTGAATCAATCTGTACTCTCCATTTCATATTATAAATTATTTGACATTTTCCCTAAGTTAAAATTCTTTAGGTTTGATCATTTTTTTTAAAAAAATAGCATCTATAATATTAAATTAGTTTCATTAAATTTAATATTAAACATATTTTGATAATATGTTTGTTTTGTATTGAAAATATTACCATATTTTTCTATAAATTTAATCAAACTTAAAAAAGTTTGATAAGAAAATCAAACGACTTATAATATGAAACGGAGGAAGTATATGCTTGCAGAGAAGACAAAAATGTTCATGGGTAAACAAATTAGCAGGTTGGCTACAAAATGTAATTGCTAGTTATGACTCAGACGCTACCTGCAGACTGCAGTTACAATTATCCTCCGAGACACAATACAAATATATATACAATCACACTCATCAGTTGTATATTCTCTTTTGCCAAAAATCGATGATGACCAAGTCAGCTGCTTAACCTCCAAATGCCAATCCATATAAATATTAGGTTAACCTCCAAGTGATACCAGCTTTCAATCTCCAGTCTATATGTAGACGACAGAGATGCAAATCTAGCTTAAGCATCCAGGTGGTTAATTACCTTCTCTACTAATCAGCCATGAGCTCAATGTTCCTAATCATCCTATCATGCATGCTTCTCCTTTCTAATTCTGGCAGAACAACTACAGGTGCAGAGCTAGGTGACACTCTTGGCAAGGGCCGGAACATCACCGACGGCGAGAGGCTCGTCTCCGCCGGCGGCTCATTCACGCTGGGCTTCTTCTCGCCGGCGTCGTCTTCGTCGTCGAGCACCAGCCGGAGATACCTCGGGATATGGTTCTCCGTCTCCGACGACGTCGTCTGCTGGGTCGCCAACCGCGACCGCCCTCTCACGGACACCTCCGGCGTGCTGGTGATCACCGACGCGGGGAGCCTCCTCTTGCTCGATGGCTCTGGCCACGTCGTGTGGTCGTCGAACACGACGACCGGGGGCGGCGCGTCCATGGCGGCGCAGCTGCTCGAGTCGGGAAACCTCGTCGTCAGTGACCGCGGCAATGGCGGCGCGGGCGCTGTCGTCGTGTGGCAGTCGTTCGACCACCCGTGTGACACGCTGCTCCCCGGCATGAAGATCGGCAAGAACCTGTGGACCGGCGCCGAGTGGTACCTCTCGTCGTGGCGTTCGTCCGGCGACCCGTCGCCGGGGAACTACCGGTACAGGACGGACACGAAGGGCGTGCCGGAGAACGTGCTCTGGGACGGCGACGGCGAGGTGTACCGGACGGGGCCGTGGAACGGGCTGTGGTTCAGCGGCATCCCGGAGATGGGGACGTACTCCGACATGTTCAGCTACCAGCTGACGGTGAGCCCCGGCGAGATCACCTTCGGCTACTCCGCCAACGCCGGCGCGCCGTTCTCCCGCCTCGTGGTGACGGGCGTCGGCGAGGTCCAGCGGCTGGTGTGGGAGCCGAGCAGCCGGGCATGGAAGAACTTCTTCCAGGGGCCGAGGGACCTGTGCGACGACTACGGCAAGTGCGGGGCGTTCGGCCTGTGCGACGCCGGCGCGGCGTCGACGTCGTTCTGCAGCTGCGTGGAGGGCTTCACCCCGGCGTCGCCGTCGCCGTGGAAGAAGATGAGGGACACCTCCGCCGGGTGCCGGCGAGACGCGGCGCTGGGCTGCGCCACGGACGGCTTCCTGACGGTGCGCGGCGTGAAGCTCCCCGACGCGCATAACGCGACGGTGGACAAGCGCGTCACGGTGGAGGAGTGCTGGGCGCGGTGCCTCGCCAACTGCTCGTGCGTCGCCTACGCCCCCGCCGACATCGGAGGCGGCGGCGGCTGCGGCGCCGGGAGCGGATGCATCATCTGGGCCGACGACCTCGTCGACCTGCGCTACGTCGATGGAGGACAAGATCTCTACGTGAGGTTGGCGAAATCTGAGTTAGGTACGAAGCAGGTAGCAATGTATTTTTTTTACGAAATTGCTAAAAAAAACTGTCGCATGTTTTTTGGTAAAAACTTTCAAAATGAGCAAATCTAATAAGATTTGACAAGGCTAATGCTGATGAAATGAGTGAGAGTGAGTGCTGATATATTTGTGGAAAAAACTGTGACAGGCAAAGATGGTATTCGGCAACGGCGGCCTCCAGCTGCTGTGGTTATTGGTGCATCCATTGCTTCAGTTGTTGGGGTTCTTCTCATTATTTTGTTGGTCCTCCTATATGTGATTAGGAGGCGTCAGAGGCCTAGAGTATCAGGTAACAATTCGTAATACTCTGAAAGTCTGAATTCCTGATAACTATTTTGTTCAGTTTACTGGGATTTTTTTTGCCCCTTGAGATGATGACCCATCGTTTCTCCCACGTCAACTGAATAGTCATGAAAAAAATTGATAAGATAGATTAACATATGATATATTGCTCCATGAGACAAATTAAACTTCTACAAATTATAAAAAAAAAACTTCTAATGTATGAATACTTTAATTTGTTGTTTTCTACAATTTGTAGAGGTTAAAATTTAACTTTACATGTACTATTTTTTATATTTTTTCATAACTATTTAGTCGACGTGCACAAACGAGAATTTGACTTTATATGTAATATATTTTATAGTTCTTTTGTTTTTTTAATAACTATTTGACGATGTGCTACAAACGGGAGGCGTCTAGAGAGGAGAAAATCATCCCCATAGTTTTCTACTCCCTCCGTTTCAGGTTATAAGTCGTTCTGACTTTGGTTAAAGTTAAATTATTTTAAGTTTAACTAAGTTTGTAGTTAAATATAGTAATATTTATAACACCAAATTAGTTTCATCAAATATATAATTGAACATATTTTCATAATGTATTTGTTTTGAGTTAAAAATGTTACTACTTTTTTTTCTACAAACTTAATTAAACTTGAAATAGTTTGACTTTTACCAAAAACAAAACGATTTATAATATGAAACGAAGGGAGTGCTTTGATATACAAGAAGGTGTAAATCAATGCAATTATATTCACCAGATGATGATGCGGGCGTTCCAGCTGCTACTGCTGCTGTTCATGCTCGTCCTAATCCTGCTTTGGCTGCCCCTTCAATTAATCTGTCTAGTGTGAAGGAGGCTACAGGGAATTTCTCTGAAAGCAATATCATTGGCAGAGGTGGTTTCGGCATTGTCTATCAGGTCTGCACTTTTTTCAACAATTTGACACCTTTATGTACGCAAACTAAGTTACGATTTGACTTCACTACCACAAATCTTGAAATGCAAAGTCTGCATTGAAACATCTGATTTTACAATCACCAGGGGAAGCTGCCCAGTGGTAGAAAGGTTGCTGTAAAGAGGCTCACACAGTCTCTTGTTACTGACAAACGCAAGGAGGATTTCATAAGAGAGGTGGAGATGATGTCGAACACAAGGCACGCCTACCTTGTTGAGCTGCTCTGTTACTGCCAAGAAGGAGGCGAGATGATACTAGTCTATGAATACATGGAGAACATGAGCTTGGATCTCTACATATTTGGTACCCATTCCTAACCAAAAAAACAAATTCATTACTCACTGTAGTCTGTTAATCTTTGTAGAAATGTGATGCATAATTATCTTCTGTATATTCCTGTAAAGCTCTGATCTTCTGCATGCTTATCACACGGGCCTATTTGGAACTGACAGGAGAAGATCGTAGACTGCGAGCCTCTCTGAATTGGGTGCAAAGATTAGACATAATCCGCGGGATCGCCATAGGTGTCGAGTACCTTCACAACGTGAAAGTTATTCACAGGGATCTGAAACCATCCAACATACTCCTAGATGACAATCGGAGACCTAAGGTAGCAGACTTTGGCACTGCCAAGCTGTTTATCAACGACCAGACTGATCCAACATTAGTTCTGTCAGCGTATGATTTTTAACTTCATTACTTCAGCTAATGTTCCTATTCAAGTTTTTCTGGCATTTTCTGCATGTTTTCCTTAGAGGTCTCAACTGACCGACAAGCTTTTTTTTTTTTGTTAATGAAGGGGCTACATAGCTCCAGAATATGCAGCTCAAGGAAATCTGACGCTCAAGTGCGATGTGTATAGCTTTGGAGTTGTGTTGCTAGAGATAATCAGTGGTAAAAGGAACAGGACATTACCAACTTTTCTTCGTGAGGTAAGTGAACATATAAGTCGCACAATTGATTTGCCTAAAGCAAATAAGCACATAAACAGAAGTTGAGAAGCCAGTGCCAACAGACTGAACTAAGCACCCGCAAAAAAATGACATAAAAGTTCATAATTTTCAGTACTACTCTTTTAGAAAAAAAATAATGAATTTCCAGGCAAAGTTAATAATTTTTTGAAAGGAAAAATATAGCTATTAGAAAATGCAAATGGGCACTATCATGTAAGTGAGTTTTTTTCTTTTTGGCAGACCTGGGAGTCTTGGAAACAGCATGAGATCGAGGACATTCTTGATTTAGGACTGATCAAACCTGAGCCTGATCTCCTGCTTGGGCTAGACAGGTGCATCCAAATTGGGCTTCTCTGCGTACAGCAATCTCCCGATGACAGGCCTACCATGAATCAGGTTGTCTCAATGCTAACCAAATACAGTTCACAGATAGCCATGCCCAAGAATCCCATGATCAACAGCAGATGCGAGCCTTCAGTTTCACAAGTAGTATCTGACACAGAGCCGGCCTCACACGACAGACCTGGGCCGAGCCTGAACTGACCGTCTCGTGCTTGGCTCGGCATGTCACAGCTCACAAGAAATCGCATTGGATAGAGAGAGTTTGCTGTTGTTTGTGGCCCCCTGAACCTTCTTCTCAGCTATTCCTGTGTTGATTAGTGTACTTATCCCCATGTCCCAGCGTCAGAACGCCGTCAACACTGAAAAATTCGGGTTTCTGATGAACGGAGGAAAATCCATCTCGTGTCCTTGAGGTCTTTCGGACTATTCTTAAGCTTCAGCAATCATGTGTACAGAAATCGTTGTAGGAAGTTTTTGCACACAAGTGTACTGTGATGACCAGCTAACAAAAGCAAAGCAGCTCCACCCTCATAATGCACTCATCATGCGTCAATGCCACCAACTAAACGGGTTACGCACGCATGCAGCGCTGACTTCTCGCAACTTTTACGAGTTTTCTCATTCTCTCCAAGGTGATTTTAGTTCCCAACTTTTTCTTCAAATTTCTAACTTTTCCATCACATCAAAACTTTCCTACACACACAAACTTCCAACTTTTCCGTCACATCGTTCCAATTTTAATCAAACTTTCAATTTTAGCATGAACTAAACAAACCCTTAGTATGATTTCGTAGCAACACTTTCCTTTGCGCGTGCACCTCCACTCATAGACCCGTAGACGAATAAAAAGTCTCGGCCATACGTTGACTCACGGGAATTACTCCAAAGCTATTTGTGAATCAGTGAATGTGATGACCAGACAAGTTATTTCTTCAGGCTTCACAGTCACAGGCAAGTGAAGAACAAACCAAATGAATATGGCATGCCTCCCCTTTCTCATCTGCTTGCTCCTCATCTCCTTCTGCAAGTGCGATGATCAGCTGACACAAGCAAAGCAGCTCCACCCAGGCGACGTGCTTGGCTCCAAGAGCGGGGTGTTTGCGCTCGGGTTCTTCTCCCCTGGAACCTCCAACAAGAGCTTATATCTTGGCATATGGTACCACAACATCCCGCAGCGCACATATGTTTGGGTTGCCAACCGAGACAACCCGATCTCCACACCTTCATCATCCGTGATGCTCGCCATCAGCAATAGCTCTAACCTTGTCTTGTCAGATTCCGAAGGCCGAACTCTTTGGACAACGAACATCACCATAACTGGAGGCGACGGTGCTTATGCAGCGTTACTTGACACAGGAAACTTGGTTCTCCAGCTGCCAAACGAAACAATCATATGGCAAAGCTTTGATCACCCAACTGACACCATTCTGCCCAACATGAAGTTTTTGCTGAGGTACAAGGCACAAGTCAGCAGGCGACTTGTCGCTTGGAAGGGCCCAAATGATCCATCCACCGGGGAATTCTCCTTGAGTGGCGACCCCAGCTTAGACATTCAGGCCTTCATCTGGCATGGGACCAAGCCATATTACCGCTTCGTCGTGATTGGTAGTGTGTCAGTGTCCGGCGAAGCATACGGCAGCAACACCACCTCTTTCATATATCAAACTCTGGTGAACACACAGGATGAATTCTATGTTAGGTACACAACCTCTGATGGCTCAGCAAATGCACGCATCATGCTTGATTACATGGGAACCTTCAGGTTCCTGAGTTGGGATGATAGCTCGTCATCATGGACAGTTCGCTTACAACGCCCAGCGAGCACCATCGACTGCTATACCTACGCCTCATGTGGCCCATTCGGCTACTGTGATGCCATGCTAGCCATCCCAAGGTGCCAATGCCTCGATGGGTTCGAGCCTGACACCACCAACTCTTCGAGAGGATGCCGAAGAAAGCAACAGTTGAGATGCGGAGATGGGAATCATTTTGTGACCATGTCCGGAATGAAGGTCCCTGACAAGTTCATTCCTGTCCCAAACAGAAGCTTTGATGAGTGCACGGCTGAGTGCAACCGCAACTGCTCGTGCACGGCTTATGCTTATGCAAACTTGACCATAGCCGGCACCACGGCAGACCAATCAAGGTGCTTGCTTTGGACTGGGGAGCTAGTCGACACGGGGAGGACTGGTTTTGGTGATGGTCAGAACCTGTACCTCCGGTTGGCCTACTCTCCTGGTATGCCCACCTTTTTTCCCCTGCAGTTGCAATATAACTCTTAGGGCATCCACAATGTACTACAAAAGTAGTCCATAGGGAATAAACTATTCCATTCAGTCATCTAGTAATATTGTGCAACTAGTCTATATAAAGAAAATAGCAAAAGGTATCCATATGCATATGGACTACCCATATGACATAAATAATATTATCTATCTCTACTTCTCTCTCTTCTCCTAATGTCACATTGTATCCATATACATTGTGAGGATTGCTATAGGTAAAGTTTATTTATGTGGATCCCATCTATATAGACTACTTTTGCCATATACATTGATGATACCCTTAGATAGCTTGTACATGGAATTCTGAGAAAAAAAATCACTTTTCTTGATAGGGTACACTTCTGAAGCCAACAAAAAGAACAAAAAAGTAGTGAAGGTTGTAGTCCCAATTATAGCATGCCTGCTGACATTCACATCCATATACCTTGTCAGGAAGTGGCAAACAAAAGGTACAGTGAGGGTCAATACTCAATACTAACTAACACTATGCAGTCTTCCTGTAACTACTGACCGATAATGATGTTCTTATTAGGCAAACAGAGAAATGACGAAAATAAGAAGAGAACAGTGTTAGGAAACTTTACAACTTCTCACGAACTTTTTGAGCAGAAGGTAGAATTTCCAAATATTAATTTTGAAGAGGTTGCTACTGCAACAAACAATTTCAGTGATTCCAACATGCTTGGCAAAGGAGGTTTTGGTAAGGTTTATAAGGTAACAATTTACACTAAGAGTTGTAGCAGTGGACAAGCCTTATAATTTTTATCCTGTTAAAATAATTTTACTATACAGGGGAAGTTGGAAGGAGGCAAAGAAGTTGCTGTCAAAAGACTCGGTACAGGTTCCACACAGGGGGTAGAGCATTTTACAAATGAAGTGGTTCTTATTGCCAAATTGCAGCACAAAAATCTAGTCAGGCTTCTTGGTTGCTGCATTCATGGAGAAGAGAAGCTTCTTATTTATGAATACTTACCAAACAGAAGCCTGGATTACTTCCTTTTTGGTATGTAATAATTATATATTCTCTTTTTACCTTTTTCACTTTTGGTGGGAGAGGCCGAGAGGGTTCCCAAAGCCTGAACAACAATAAGTTTCCTTTCATAATGTCCGTCGTAGATGATTCAAAAAAGTCTATGCTTGATTGGCGAACACGGTTCAACATAATCAAAGGAGTAGCTAGAGGACTTGTTTATCTCCACCAAGACTCAAGGATGACAATAATTCACAGAGATCTCAAAGCCAGCAACATTTTATTGGATGAGGAGATGAGCCCCAAAATATCAGATTTTGGTATGGCGAGAATCTTTGGTAGCAACCAGCATCAAGCAAACACTAAGCATGTAGTCGGGACATAGTGAGTAACTCTTCAACTACCTGTGTATAAAATACAAACTTCTATATACTTGAACGCATTCAAACTACTTACACTCAGTTGGTGACATGATTTAAACAGTGGTTACATGTCACCTGAATATGCGATGGAAGGCATCTTCTCTGTCAAGTCTGACACCTACAGCTTTGGTGTTTTAGTCTTGGAGCTTATAAGTGGCTCTAAGATCAGCTCACCTCATCTGACAATGGATTTTCCAAACCTTATAGCCCGTGTAAGTTGTATGACATATAGTGCACAAAGTTTCAACAGCTAAAGTTTTGCACTAATTAGAAACTCTCTTCTCTTTGTTCAGGCCTGGAGCTTGTGGAAAGATGGAAATGCAGAGGATTTTGTGGACTCAATTATTCTGGAAAGCTATGCAATTAGCGAGTTTTTGCTCTGTATCCACTTAGGACTGTTATGTGTCCAGGAAGACCCAAGTGCTAGACCATTCATGTCATCAGTTGTGGCCATGTTAGAGAATGAGACCACAGCACGTCCTACTCCAAAGCAACCTGCATATTTCGTGCCAAGGAATTATATGGCCGAAGGGACGAGACAGGACGCCAACAAATCTGTAAACAGCATGAGCCTTACCACACTACAGGGGCGTTAGAAGTTTGGATTCAGAATCAACTTGTTGCAGAATTCATCACTTGATCTGATCATATGATTGTCCCTCTTTAATTTCAGAATGAGCTGGTTATAGAATTAACCGCTACGGAATGAAATTTACAGGAAACAAAATTGTCCCAGTGAAAATGTGATTGCTCTTTGGGTCATTGGGCTTATGAATTATCATTCATATTCAACAGTTTTCGGATATTATGGCCTTGTTTAGTTCTCAAAAACATCTCATCGAATCTTTGGACACATATATGGAGCATTAAATATAGATAAAAAGAAAAATTAATTGCATAGTTTACATGTAAATCACGAGACAAATCTTTTGAGCCTAATTAGGTCATGATTAGCCGTAAGTGCTACAGTAACCCACATGTGCTAATGATGGATTAATTAGGCTCAAAAGATTCGTCTCACAGTTTCCAGGCGAGTTATGAAATTAGTTTTTTCATTTGTGTCCGAAAACCACTTCCGACATCCGGTCAAACGTCCGATGTGACACCCAAAAATTTTCATTTCACCAACTAAACACGCCCTATATGTTTTACGAAAAGAAAAAGGTAAAATCCTTTCGTCGTCAAATTTCACTAAATTATTGGAACTGGAAGGTTGGGTACCTGGGTGCATTTTTGCAATTTGCACTAGGCGATAAAAAAACGAAGAATACGAATCCGCATCTATGTGATTCATCACTGTTTTAATCAGTAGTAGTACTAGTACCTGCACTCGAGGGGCGTTGAAATGGCACGCCTGAACCTGAACCTCCTCGGCGAAACCACGTCACGACCGGAGGTTGCGCGTCTGCTTCGGTTCCCCCTCAGCCGCCGCCGGCGGCTGCGCCGCCGCCGCTTGCCCAACAGCGCGTCAGCACTAGCGGTTCCTCTTTTTGCCGGGTCGGCCGAAGGAACCGGCGACCAATTTTATTAAGATTAGGAGGAATAAAATCAAAGTACAAGTAGTTTTCGCTTGCAACGACAGGTGTCGAATTAGACTGTGGCAGGAACCACAGCCCGGCAAACTAAAGAACTGGAACGTCAACACAACAGAAAGAAAACTAAGAACTGCAATTCTCGAAATAGCCTGCTTCTTTCCACACTAAGATCTCTTCTTTGATAGCCTCTGCTAACTGGTTAGGGCTTCTCGATCTTTGGTCGAAAACACGCGCATTTCTTTCCTTCCAAATCTACCAGCAAATCAGCATACAAGCGCTGTCGAAGTTTGTCCTGTAGCACTTCCGAAAATATGTTCTGGCCTGCAACCACCACTCTGTCAGGCATGTGTTCTCGCTCCCAGGGATGGGGAAGTAAGCGCTAGCTGATCCATTGCCGCATCCACTAGCGGTTCCTCTCCTAGGCTGCAAGGCTGCAAAGCCTCCACCACCTCGCGGCGTACCACTGCCATCGCAGTGGCGGACGAACCAACCCCAGGAGGTCCGCGACTCCGCCCCGCCGCGGTCTCGGTGCCCTCTACTCCGGTGGCTCCGGCGGGCGGCGGCCGAACACCTAACTGGGGTAGAGGCGCATTCGGCGGCTTCGGACCATCTCGAGCACCTATGGCCCAAACCCATCAGTGGGGGCCTGTGTTGGCAGGAGGTGAGGCAAAGCAGGCCGGCCCAAGTCGGTGAAAGCTCGTTGATGGACTAATGGGCCTCAATGAGGCCTCCGCCCGCCGGAGTCAGCCCATCCGTGGAGTAAGAGCCCACCGAGCCGGCACTGGGGCGGCCCACCCGAGGAGGCGATCCGCCACTGCAAGCCGACGGCGCGGGCGAAGTGGCGGAGATGTTGCCGACGATGGCGCGGCGAGGCGGGAGAGCGAGCGGCCGCCGGCCAGGACGGGGAGGCCGGATCGAGGATGCAGGCGGTGGCGGTTGCGCGAGCTCACGGAGCAGGCCAGGTTCCGGACACCCCCCCCCTCCCCCCCAAACCTCCGATTTTTCGATGCGGATTGAGTTGATCCGACTCCGTGCGGCACGGCCATTCGCGAGTCGCGACATCATCCGCTGCACGGGCGCGCCGGAGAGGAGGGAGAGCGTGTGGCGAGCGGCGGCGCGTCCAGGGTGCAGACGGTATGAACCCAGCACGGGCAGGCATGATTTTAACTAATTTTTCGACCCAAGCCTCCAATTTTTGGTTCTAGGTTGGGCATCTGGGGATGGCTGATTCATGCATGAGTCAAGCCCGTGAGGTAGAGCGGGGATTGGAACCACCCGCCACACATAAACATAGACCCCAAGCGCTGCTGGAGCACTTCGCCTTGGATAGATTCTTCCATCCTTAATTAGATGACCTTTCAAATACCTGCTCAATATATTTCACAAAAGAAAAGACGCATGGCAAATGATCACTTGTGTGGATCTCTAATCATTATTCTGTTAGAGGAGTATCTATTCAATTTTTGAACATAAATTAGCTCTTCCTAATATATTGATAGAGCAAAGCAGATGAGAAAAAAACAAGTAGCACAAGCGCACAACCACCTACGGAATGCATTCTTTCCAATATCTTTCAGTTCATTGTTTACTACTCCCTCCGTTTCACAATGTAAGTCATTCTAGCATTTCCCACATTCATATTGATGTTAATAAATCTAGACATATATATCTATTTAGATTCATTAACATCTATATGAATATGAAAAATGCTAGAATGACTTACATTGTGAAACGGAGAAAGTATTCCGTACTAATGTACTATACAACCATCCATCTGTTTAGAGCTTATGCTAAAACATTTATTCAGCGGCCTTCTAGTATAGTCAGACTCACATTATTAACAGATTTATCTGAGTATTCTCTTGGTTCTTCTGATTCATAATGCCTCTGCACAAAATATATAGGTTGTGTTGGAATTGGGTGTGGCATGTCCTCGTTCTCCAGCATAGACACAACGAATGACATCAGTGGCCTAGCATTTGGGCTGTCCTGAACACACATGAGTCCAATATGGATGCATTTAAAAACTTCGCTGAGGGAACAGCTCTCCAAAATTGATTTGTCCACAAAATCCCTTTGTCTTCCATCTTTCCATAAGTTCCATGCCTGAAACAAGAGAATAACTTCAATATTTGTTCTGGCAATGTTATGTTTGTTCTTTGATTGTTAAATTTTGAAGCATTGGGTACCGGCAACACTTACGTAAGCTATAAGGTTTGGAAAATCCATCACAAGATGATGAGGTGAGCTGATCTTTAATCCACTTACAATTTCTAGAAGCAAAATACCAAAGCTATATGTGTCGGACTTGACTGAAAAGGTGCCTTCCATTGCATATTCAGGTGACATGTAACCACTATTTGAATAAGAAAGAAGTTTAATAATTTCCAGAACCTGGGTATTTGAATAATTTTGGTTGGCAAGAGCAGAAGTTACTTACTATGTCCCAACAACTCGTCTAGTACTTTCTTGTTGCTCATTGCCTCCAAATATCCTCGCCATACCAAAATCCGATATTTTGGGGTTCATCTCTCCATCGAGCAGTATGTTGCTTGCTTTGAGATCTCTATGAATTATCTTCATTCTTGAATCTTGATGGAGATAAAGAAGTCCTCTTGCTACCCCTTTGATAATGTTGAACCTTGTCAGCCAATCAAGTGTAGCCTCTGTTGTATGATCTGCCCAGAACACAGTTAGGATAGTAGAATCAAACAAATAATTAACCAAGCAAGAGTATTTCTTTGGATTGGTCGAACATACTGAAAAGGAATTTATCTAAGCTTTTGTTGGGCAAGTATTCGTAAATAAGCAGCTTCTCATCTCCATGAATACAGCAACCAAGAAGTCTAACTAAGTTTTTGTGTTGCAGTTTGGCAATAAGAACCAGTTCATTTCTGAACTGCTCCATCCCTTGCTCAGAACACTTGCTGAGCCTTTTAACAGCAATTTCCTTGCCATCCTCCAATGTTCCCTGTGTGATTTCATCATTATTAAAGTAATAGGAGTAAATGACATCGCTATTCCTCATATCATTGACAGAATGACAAGGTAAAATTATATATCACCTTATATACTTTGCCAAAACCTCCTTTTCCAAGCATGTTGGTGTCATGGAAACTGTCTGTTGCAGCAGTGATGTCTTCAAAGCTAATACATGGAAATTCCAGATTTTGATCCCACAAATCATGAATAGTGCTCAACTGTTGAATGACAGGTCTTTTCGTTTTTTCCTTGTTTTGTCGGACGCCTTATAGTAAAATCAACAATGTCAATACTTACAGTTACTGACAAGATATATGCACGCTTTGCAATTAAGCAGGTCCTACTGCTTATAGTACCTCTTGACTTGCATTTACTGACAAGATATATGCACGCTGTGAGTATTAGTAGGCACACTATAGCTGGGAGTACAATATTTACCACCATGTGCCTCTTCTTCTTTCTGTTTACTGTAGAATTTGACCCTGTGAAGAATGTGGGTGAACAGAAGTTACAGCGTCAAACATACAGTAGCTTGCAAGCTTGTGGGAGATAGTAACCTGGTGGTCGTGTTCAAAAACAGGCATGCTAAATTTAGACTACCACCTTCACTAGATTCTTTTTTCTTTCTGTTGAGTTTGAAGTGTGTCCTATCAACACAAGTGAACAAAATTCAGGACTGCTAATCTAAGAGCTATTCTATCGTCGCAGGGGAAAAAGGGTGGGCATACCAGTAGAATCGGCCAACCGGAGGTACAGGTTCTCAGCAATGGTGTTCCTGATGTCCCTCCACGCGTCGGCAAGCTCCCCTGTCCAAAGCAAACACCTTGGCTGGTTGGACATGGTGCCGGTTGCGGTCAAGTTGGTGTAGGCGTAGGCCGTGCACGAGCAGTTGCGGGTACACTCGTCCGTGCACTCGTCGAAGTTTCTGTTCTGGACATGCAAGAACTTGTCAGGAACCTTCATTCTAGACATGATCACAAAATGGTCATCTCCACATCTCAATTGTTGCTTTCTCCGGCATCCTGAAGAAGAATTGGAGCCAACAGGCTCAAACCCATCGAGGCATTGGCAACTTGGGACGGCCGACGTGAGGTCGCAGTAGCCGAATGGGCCACACGAGCCATAGGTATCGCAGCCAGGGGCCCTTGGGAGTTGATTTGCGACAGTCCATGAGGACAAGCTGCTGTTCCAACTCATGAACCTAAAGTTGCCCATGTAGTCAATCATGACGCGCGTGTATGGTGAATCATCAGAGATTGTGTACTTGAGGTAAAACTCATCCTTAGTGTTCACGACTGTTTTATAGACAAAAGAGGTGCTGTTGTGCAAGTATGTTGCACCGGACACCGAGACACTATCAAACAGAATGAAACGGTAATATGGCCTTGTCTCGTGCCAGATGAAGATCTGAAAGTTTGACGTGGGATCGCCGCTGAAGGAGAAATCCCCGGTGGATGGGTCATCTGGGCCCTTCCAAGCGATGAACCGCATGGCGACTTGTCCGTAGGATCTCACTAAAAACTTCATGTTGGGCAGAATGGTATCAGTTGGTTGATCAAAGCTTTGCCATATGGTTGTATTGTTCGATAGCCGAAGAACCAAATTTCCTGAGTCGAGCAGCACCGCGTAAACTCCGTCGTCTTCGGTGACAATACTGTTGGGACTTGCCATCGTCGTCCATAGGGTGCGGCCTTTGGAATCTGACAATACAAGAGCAGAATTGTTGCTGATGGAGAGCGTCGCGGATGAAGATGCAGCGATCGGGTCGTCGCGGTTGGCAACCCAAACATAGGTGCGCTCGGAGATATTGTGATACCATATACCAAGGAATAAGCTCTGGTTGGAGGTGGCCGGGGAGAAGAATCCGAGCGCAAAGTCTCCACCTTTGGAGATGAGCATGTCGCTAGGAGAGATTAGTCGCTTCGCATGTCTCAACTGGTCATCGCATCTGCAGAAAGAGATTAGTAGTAGCAAGTGGATGAAAACTGGGAGGTTGTGGCTCAGGCAGGCCATATTTGTTCTGCCTTGTTTCTTCGCTTAGCTGCGAGCCTGCGAAGCACGAAGCACACAGAAATATACATTGTTATCATTCAGTATATATGTTACTGACGTACGTATACATTGTTTCCAGAATCTTGAGACCGAAGGAACTAGGAAGCGACGTGTATGCAGATACTTTTTTGTCCGTCATATCGGGATGAAACACAAAGGAAATTAGGAAAACCTGTACGTTCAAAAACCTACTAGACAGAAAAACCCAGCACAACAGGCTGCGTTCTCAACAGATTACGGATTACTAACGACGGATGAAAATGACTTTATTGACTATAAATCGAGAGTACAAACGGAAAATATTAAAAAGTTGCCGTGCAAACTAAAACTTTAGAAATAAAATATGAACCAAAGTATAATTTGCTCTGGGCAATTAAAAGGCTGACTAGCAGCTGAGTCCATAGACGAGCAAGGTGGTGCAACCTGCAAAGAAGGCTTACCGTGATGATACGTGGCCGCGCATTATCTTCTCATCCATCAGCCCTTTTCTCGGCTTACCGTGATACAGGGCAGAGCATCTTCATGGCCATGGTAAAAAGAGATGCATGGCAGATAAGTGAGGATACCGTACGTTGCCCTTGACCCCAAGAAAAGGATATCGTAATAGGATGGCATCACCATAAATGTCATGCTGTTTATTCTTAGAAAATGCAGTTAAAGGAGAATTCTATGGTTTATCATTGACAAACGCTCGAATCTGGTTTCTCATTAGGGAACATGAGTCGTACAGTGTATATGCAATCCTACTATTGTTTTCCTTTCCTTAACCAGATTTATTGTACCTAGACAGGGTGGGTCGACCGATCCAGCTACACAATGACGAAGCCAGGATTTAGAGATAGGGGTGGTGGCACGAGACGTAAGAACTCATCAACGCCTCGGTAGACAATGATGTGAATCTTGGTGGCTTAAATCCTGCAGAGTGGCAGATTGGCCTCACGCCCAGTCGACTTTTGTTCGCTCTAATATACGTAGTCGCCCCTCGTATAATTATATTTTGAATTTTGTGGTTATTTGTCGTTTGCACTAATATATACATAAAATGATTGTTGATATGATTTTTTTTATATATTTCAACACATTCTTCTAGATTCATATATAAAATTGAACTTATTTTAGGATGGAGAGTGTATGTCCGAGTCTGAATGTACTTTAGGGGCTGTTCAGATTTATGCCATTTTTAGCCATACCATTTTTTGGGTAAAGTTGTTAAAAAAGTGCCTACGTTTAGTTTGTTGCCAAACTTTGGTAAATACATAAGAAATCCTGCCAAAATTTTGGGAATATTATCAACTTGCCGCCAATGCCAAAATTTGGTAAGGTTTATTTTGGCTACAATCAGAACATACCCTTAATATAGCATAAAAAGAACCAATTTTAAACTATGTCACTAAATAGCACCAACTTTACTCAATACTTGAATGACACGACATCATTTCTATTCATCCTTTTTAGTTTTGGAGACTTGCAACCACATCGCTTTGATATGTTAATTAACTCAGGTGGACAGCTAGATATAGGCTCAACTTGCAACTAATTAATGAGCTAATTGTATGGATTAGATGGATAATCACCCGAGGTTTGCATGCAGCGCATGCATGGGGATGGGGGTGGGGGTGGGGGTGCCAGGTACTTCGGCACTGCAGCTACGACCTGTGTCGGCCTACATTTCCAAGACCCCCTACCGTCTTTAGTAGGTAGGTCAGTTTTTTTCAAACCTCAGTTTTATAAAGAGGTCCATCGCAGCGAAATTTAACCGTCGATACTCGATCGAACGGTGGGGGAGGAGAGAAAGGAGACACGTGGCATATTTTCAGAGGCGCAAAACTTGATTTCTGAGACGCCACGTGGCCCAATCTTTGGCTAGGGTTAGAACCCTATAATCGGTATTAGAGATTAGATAGGCACTGCACCTTTGAGAGGTGTGCAAGTTCAACAGAGACCTGCCGCGCTTCTTCCCTTGATGCCGTCTGCTCCCTGCTTAACCGCCACCGCCTGCATCCTCGATCCGGCCTCCACGTCCTGGCCGGCGGCCGCTCGCTCTCCTGCCTCGCCGCGCCTTCGCCTGCAACATCTCCGCCACCTCAGTAGCGGATCGGGAATTCGGGAGGAACGGCCTCCACCTCGGATGGGCCGCCCCAGTGCCGGCTCGGTGGCCTCTACTCTACGGCTGGGCTGGCTCCGGCGGGCCTATAATTAGTCCATCAACGATCCTGTGATTTAATCCATGAAGCCTATAAGGAAATGAACGAGCACCACCTCCAGCATCATCGAGATGGGCCGAGTATTTACAGCCCAACTCTACCATTGACTACCTGCTGAGGAAATAAGTTCACTTTAGGTCCCTCTATTTGTCGGTCAGTCCGATTTTCGTCCCTTGACCGCAAGACCGGGTACGACCCGTCCCCCAACTTACGAAACCGGGTAAACGAGGTCCCTCGGCAGTATGGAGGGCGGTTTTGGCCGACGTGGCTCCTTTGACTAGGTCTTCATCCCACGTGGCGTTGACGTGGCGCTTACGTGGTAATTTTATCCCGAAAAAATAATAAAAACCGTAGGACCCACATGTCAGATACATGTAAAAATAATTTAAAAAGGTAGTGCCCATGTGGTCCTACATGTCAGCCTCCCTCTTCTCTCTATCCCCTCTCTCCCTCTCCCATACACTGCAAGCCTGCAAGGAGAAGGGCGAGCGGTGGCGGACGGTGGCCTTGCTCCCGGTCTCCGCGGGCGCCGCCAACGACATCGGCGCTAGGGCTGTCAACGAGCCGAGCTCGAGCGAGCTTGCCTGCCTATGCTCGAGCTCGATATAAGCTCGAACTAAGCCTGTTTGAGCTCGATCAAGCTCGAGCTCGACTATCGAGCTCGATTTTTAATTAGAACAATGTATATTTCAAAGGATAATTTTTAAAAAAATTTAATTTATTGTTTATCATATTAGTATAAGAGGAAAAAGAATAAAATAAACATACGATGCTAATACAAGGCATACAAATAACATATTTGATCTACCAATTTATTAAATAGCAATAAAAAATCATATATTACTAGGCTCGTTAGAAGCTCGAGCTCGGCTCGACAAAGCTCACGAGCTTTGGGACAGCTCGGGCTCGGCTCGTTTGGAGCTCGAGCCGAGCTCGAATCGAGCCTAGGACGAGTCGAGCTCGAGCAGCTCGCGATTCTCGAGCTTTTTTGCCAGCCCTAATGGCCGCGGTGGCGGCGGCAACGTGTGACGACACCGTCGGGGAGTGCGACGTGGACGATGAGGAGGAGGTGGAGGAGATGGCGTTGATGGGGGCGGCCGGCGCCGCCGCCGGGGAGACCGGTTGTCGCACGTTGCAGCGGAGGCTGCTCGATTACCTCGCCGCGCGCCCCGAGTGGCGGAGGTCCGGCGGGAGGGACCACGTCGTGCTCGCGCACCACCCCAACGGGATGCTCGACGCGCGCTACAAGCTCTGGCCATGCGTCTTCGTGCTCTGCGACTTCGGGAGGTACCCGCCCAGCGTCGTTGGCCTCGACAAGGACGTCATCGCGCCGTACCGGCACGTCGTCCCCAACTTCGCTGGCCAACGACTCCGCCGGCTACGATGACCGGCCGACGCTGCTCTACTTCCAGGGCGCCATTTACAGGAAAGATGTGAATGCCTTGTTACTTACTGTACTCTTTAAAAGATTCTTAGGTTCAGGCCAATAATATAATGCATGCTACCACTTTGGCTTGTATAGATCGAGCTGAGAGAGAAACTGAAGATTTTTTTTGGCAGCAGTAGCAGTTGCTCACGTACGCTTTGGATAGAGTCGATATGTACATACACATATGAGAGCAGCGTATTCACTGCCGCCGCCGGCAACGGCAGTGACGCCGGCGAAGGAAGAGGGAGATCAGTTGGTGTTGCGAGCGCATCGGGTGATGGCGGAGCAGCCGCGGCGGTAGGGGTTGCCGGCCTTCTGTGAGGCGCAGTTCTGGTAGTAGGACTGACCGCGCTTATTGCACGACACCTTGTTGGCGTCCAGCACCGCGTAGCTCACCTACCAGTTCGTCGGCCGCCGCATCAGCGTCTCCCCGGCGGCGGCGGCGGCGGCCGCCCCCATCAACGCCATCTCCTCCACCTCCTCCTCGGTCGTCCACGTCGCACTCCCTGACGGCGCCGTCGCACGTCTCCACCGCCGCCGCCATCTGCCACCGCCCCGACGCCACCACGCCCATGTCGTCGGTAGCGCCCGCGGCCAGGAGCAACGTCCACCGCCCGCCGCCGCTCGTCCTTCTCCTTCAGCGTAAGGGAGAGGGAGAGAGGGGATAGAGAGGAGGAGGCTGACATGTGGAACCACATGGCCCCACCTTTTTTAATTATTTTTATATGTAGCTGACATGTAGCCATATGGGTTCTACGGTTTTTATTATTTTTTGGGATAAAATTGCCACGTAAGCGCCACCTTAACACTATGTGGGATGAAGATCTAGTTAAAGGAGCCACGTAGGCGCCACGTCGGCAAAAACCGTCCTCTATACTGCCAAGGGATCTCGTTTGTCCGGTTTTCGTAAGTTGGGGAATGGGTCGTATCCGGTTTTGCGGCCAAGAGACGAAAATCGGACCAACCGACAAATAGAGGGACCTAAAGTGAACTTATTCCACCTGCTGAGTGCTGAGCAAGAGCATGAGATTACTTCGCCATGGCAAGGACAAAAGCATATCTGCATATGCCGCGAGGTTTCGCTGCCGTCGACTTTTCTCGATCTCTATCGAGAGTTCAGTTTTGTAGCGATAGTTTATCTTTTCGGCTTTTGACGGAAGAAAATAGGTCTCGGCGACAGATTGTTCTTTTTTTTTTCTTCACCAGATTTTTGTCACATGTTATTTACTCCCACGCTCGATCTTCTTTTTTTTCAAATAGTTTGGATCATTTATTCTAAGCTATTTGTTCTATGTAAAATAATCTATTTTAATAGCCCGGTGCAAAAATCATATGTGTTGTCTCAGTTTTCCAAATATGTGTTTATAGAGGTGAGTGTGTGAACGTTATACTGTGTTTTAAAAAAACATATATATTGTAGGCCAGCTATTTGCTCTAAACTATTTTGTGTTAAGCTACCTGTACTAAGTTATTTTGTTTTTTTAATGTTTCTTAACGAAAAATGAGGTATGTAACTAGGACTTCCCATGAGGTCTCGTCAACTATAGACTTGTTGGCTGACGGGTGGTTAGTACAGCGCTACCGATGCCATGAAATGGAATTTGGTTAATCGTGGAGTGAGGTCGATGTCATGACGCAGATCATCAACGTGCCGCGTTCAACTCTCAGATCATTTTGGTCTTCTGGCTTATTTGGAAACAACGTTAATGCAAAAATCTTCCAATCTGAATCCAATACGCCTCTGGAGTCTGGAGGTTAGAAGATCAAGAAGGAATTTTGCGTCTCGCCTGACTGCTGATTTCTATTTTTTTTTGAGCGGAACATATATTCCATTTACTTATTACTGATACGGCCAAATCGCCCTGATTGCTGATTTCTTTGTTTCATACCGGTTTGATAATACTTTTCGTTTTGGATAAGGGCACGGTCTCTAAAAAACAACTTTGACCATTATTTTTCATTATAATATGTATAAAATTGTTAACAAATATACGATTATATTAAAGTACTTTTTAAGACTAATCTATACATATAGTCACCATATTTAAAAGACAAATATTTTAAAAATGATTTATAATCAAAGATTATAAAGTTTGACTACACCCTTATCCAAAACGACAAGTATTATCAGCCTGGAGGGAGTAGTAAACTTTCAGAAATTAACTAGAGATTTCTCCTTTTGCTGTAACCGTTTTTAACAGGATCTATTGTACTTGTTGGCAGCCTTGTTTTATTAGTTACAGTTGTACTGTTCTGGCCAGGTTCTTTTGCCGTCCCGGGAAAGGTAAAAAAGGAAAAAGGAAAAAAAAATAACAGTATAACGGTTTCGCTCTCGTTGATTTTCTCGTCGTATCCGAACTTCGTTTTCGCTTTGCGCGTGCATCCTGATCTGGAAGGACAGAAATGTCTTGGCCGTATGTTTGCTTTCTTCGGTCCAACCATGCTCTAAGACTATGGGAAATCATCTAGTATGCATCTGATAATTGGATACATATGCTCTATTTCTTCACATTTACATTTTTGAAGGCAACTAGGAAACAGAAGAACAAGACCTAATGAGATTTAGAGCCAAAGTATGGAAGGAAAAGGAAGATGAATGCAAGAACCTTGGTGGTTGGTGTGGCAGGAACGGAACAGAAGAATTTCCAACACCAAAGCCAGAGGGAGAAGCAAAAGTAGCTGCCCAATTGTGCAGGAGTTAAATCAGATAGAGCTTAGCAGAGCTTAGCCTGGTAATTTCAAGAGCTACGAGAGCAGTTCTCCTTTTTATCAGATGTACATCTTCTTTTCCAGTTGCCTCGCCTCTCCTCGGGCTCTTCTTTTGTAAGACTCTGTGTCTTTTTAATCGCATAATCTAATTTTGATTTTGCAGAGCTCCTGCCTTGCTTGTCCAAAAAAGAAGAACAAGGGCCAGATGAATATGGCCTACCTCCCAGTTCTCATCTACTTGCTGCTCATCTCTTTCTGCAAATGCGATGATCAGCTGACACAGGTAAATCGATTGATCTCCCCCAGCGGCAAGCTCGTCTCCAAGAGCGGCGTCTTTGCACTCGGTTTCTTCTCCCCAGCCACTTCCAACCAGAGCTTATTCCTCGGCATATGGTATAACAACATCCCAGAGCGAACATACGTTTGGGTTGCTAACCGTGACAACCCAATCACCACACCTTCATCAGCGATGCTCGCCATCAGCAATAGTTCTGACCTTGTATTGTCAGATTCCAAAGGTCGCACCGTCTGGACGACAATGGCAAATGTCACCGGAGGTGACGGAGCTTATGCAGTGCTGCTCGACTCAGGAAACTTGGTTCTCCGGCTGTCAAACAATGTAACCATATGGCAAAGTTTCGATCACCCAACTGACACCATTCTGTCGAACATGAAGATTCTGCTGAGGTACAAGGAGCAAGTAGGCATGCGGCTTGTAGCTTGGAAGGGCCTTGATGATCCAACAACGGGGGACTTCTCATGCAGCGGAGACCCCAGCTCAGACCTTCAGGTCTTCGTCTGGCACGGGACCAAGCCATATTACCGCTCCATTGTGCTTGACAGTGTGTGGGTGTCCGGCAAAGCATATGGCAGCAGCACCTCCTTCATGTACCAAACATATGTAAACACACAGGATGAGTTCTATGTTATCTACACCACCTCTGATGGCTCACCATACATGCGCATCATGCTTGACTACACGGGCACCTTCAGGCTCCTGAGTTGGAACGTCAACTCGTCATCATGGGCAATCTATTCTCAACGCCCAGCAGCCATTGGCGATTGTGATCCCTACGGCTCGTGTGGCCCATTCGGTTACTGTGACTTCACGTCGGTCATCCCAAGATGCCAGTGCCCGGATGGATTTGAGCCTAACGGCTCCAACTCTTCAAGTGGATGCCGGAGAAAGCAACAATTAAGATGTGGAGAAGGGAACCATTTCATGACCATGCCTGGAATGAAGCTCCCTGACAAGTTCTTTTATGTCCAGGACAGAAGCTTTGAGGAGTGCGCGGCTGAGTGTAGCCGAAACTGCTCATGCACGGCCTATGCTTACACCAACTTGACCATAACCGGCTCTCCCGGTACCACAGCCAGCCAGTCAAGGTGCTTGCTTTGGGTTGGTGAGCTTGTTGACATGGCGAGGAACAATCTTGGTGACAACTTGTACCTCCGGTTGGCCGACTCTCCAGGTATGCCCACCTTTTATCCCTGTGGTGACAAATGACAATAAAGATCTTAGATAGCCTGAACATCCAATTAAAAGCAACATCCATGCATATACCTGCAATCTATGGTTAGAAATTCTGAAAGCTTCTTCATTTCTCTTAATAGGTCATAAAAAGAGCAGGTATGTAGTCAAGGTTGTAGTCCCCATTATAGCATGCGTGCTAATGCTCACGTGCATATACCTTGTCTGGAAATGGATATCAAAAGGTACAGCAGGAGCCAATACTCAACACCGACTCATATCATGTTTTCCTCCTGTAATTGTACTTATGATATTGATGTTCCTATTAGGTGAAAAGAGAAATAATGAAAATCAGAATAGAGCGATGCTAGGAAACTTTAGAGCTTCTCATGAAGTATATGAGCAAAATCAGGAATTCCCATGTATTAATTTTGAAGATGTTGTCACTGCAACAAACAATTTTAGTGATTCAAATATGCTTGGAGAAGGAGGTTTCGGCAAGGTTTATAAGGTAACAATTTACACAGACAAACGCAACAGTGGAGAAACCTACAACATTTTATCATGCTAAAATGATGTTATTATACAGGGCAAGTTGGGAGGTGGCAAAGAAATTGCGGTTAAAAGACTCAGTACAGGTTCCACACAGGGATTAGAGCATTTTACAAATGAAGTGGTCCTTATTGCCAAATTGCAGCACAAAAATCTTGTTAGGCTTCTTGGTTGCTGCATTCATGGAGATGAAAAGCTCCTTATTTATGAATACTTACCAAACAAAAGCTTGGATCACTTCCTTTTTGGTACTGTTCAGAAACTTACCACATGATCCAGATATAATTGGCTGAATGCTTACTAATTAGCATTATTCACCATTGTTGATAGATCCAGCAAGTAAATTTATTCTTGATTGGCCAACAAGGTTCAAGATAATCAAAGGAGTAGCTAGAGGACTTCTTTATCTCCACCAAGATTCAAGGTTAACTATAATTCATAGAGATCTCAAAACAAGCAACATCTTGTTGGATGCGGATATGAGTCCTAAGATATCGGATTTTGGTATGGCAAGAATCTTTGGCGGAAACCAGCAAGAAGCAAATACTAACCGAGTTGTTGGAACATAGTGAGTGATTTATGTGTTAGTGTTTAGAATGATATTTATTTCCTTTCCTGAAACAATATTTGTTACTTATTGCTAAAACTGTTAAGCAGCGGTTACATGTCTCCTGAATACGCAATGGATGGGGTCTTTTCAGTCAAGTCTGACATATATAGCTTTGGTGTTATACTCTTGGAGATTGTAAGCGGTTTGAAGATTAGCTTACCTCAGCTGATGGATTTTCCCAACTTGTTGGCCTATGTAAGTACGGTGAAATGATCTATCTTCATATAATGCAAACTTTTTTTCTTTTTTTTTTGCCGGGTCGGCCGAAGGAACCGGCGACCAAATTTCATTAAGATTGGGAGGAATATAATGCAAACTAACTGTACTGATTTTATATGGACCCTATTCTATTGGTTCAGGCATGGAGATTATGGAAGGATGATAAGACCATGGATTTGGTGGACTCATCCATTGCTGAGAGTTGCTCAAAAAACGAGGTTTTACTATGTATCCACATAGGCCTGTTGTGCGTGCAAGATAATCCAAATAGTAGGCCACTCATGTCTTCTGTTGTTTTCATGTTGGAGAACGAACAGGCAGCACTTCCCGCTCCAATACAACCTGTGTATTTTGCACATAGGGCCTCTGAAACCAAACAAACAGGGGAAAATACCAGCAGCTCTAATAATAACATGAGTCTCACGGTATTAGAGGGACGGTAGATGTTTATGTTACCTATTTTCTGCATAGAAAGCATTTAGATTTTACCACTTCTGTAATTAGTTTGTTCTTTTCCATAAAATATTAGAAACAAAGGGCAGATGTTACATTTTTTTTGGATGAGTTTTTTCTTTTATCATGGCCCTTGAGATGGTATTTTTAATGTGCAGGTATTACAAAATAACAGTAGATAATGTGGTTCTCGATACACTGTCCTGCAAAAGAATCGCAACATATTTTTACCATCAATTCATTAAACTATTCTAAGTTGGATGTATACAGTTTAAAAGTTGGGAAGTTATAAAATACTCCCTCCGTTTCACAATGTAAGTTATTCTAGCATTTTCCACATTCATATTGATACATGATGTATCAATATGAATGTGGNAAATGCTAGAATAACTTACATTGTGAAACGGAGGGAGTAGGCTATATCAAAAAACACTCCCAAGACAACTGTATGGAGTGTAGGATCATAACATGCGTGATTGTGTGCAATATATTTTGGCATGACAATTTTTTTTGAGGGGAAATATGGGAATAACAAAGTCTTTGATGACAAAATTAATTATTTACTATCGCTTTTTATCCACTTTCAATCATTTTCTTCAGGCTCACTCAATACCACCAATTAAAAGTCTGAAAAATATCCTCAATCTAAAAACTTCGACCAAGTCCTAGTAGTTAATCTTGGAATATAAATCCAAATCAGAACTTCAGAAGTATACCTTGGCTTCAAGTGGCTCGCGACGAGGTGGCACCGTGGCACCGGCCACCGGGAGCTTGGCGCCACGACTTGTAACCCCGTGAGGGCCGCCGTCTTCCCCCCTCAGCCGGCTGCCGTGGCGTCCGCCGCTACTTCTCCAAATGCTTCAGCCGAGAGCGATTCCCCCTAGGCTGGCAAACTTCCTGTCGATGCCGTCTGCTCCCTCGCGTGGCAGCACCCGCGTTGACGCCACCCGACGCGGGCTCGCCGGCCATGGCCATGGCCGCAGCCACTCGCTCTCCTCCCGCCGCGCGGCGCCGCTCCCGTGCCGCCGGCGGCCGCCGCCGCACGGGATTGGGTCAAATCAGGCCGCATGTACGGGAGACTCCTGGTCCAATGGGCTAGTGGGCCGTACTGAGTTATTGAGGCCCATAAATACGAGGCCCCAGACGGCTCAAGGCCTACCAGGTCGGCACATAAAACGAGAAAGTCATTAGTTTAAGATTAGTCAAGTTTTAATTACTAGTATGAATTAGAAAATTAAATTTATTTGTGGTTTTAGAAAAACCTTTGTATAGAAAGTTTTCTCATAAAACATATCCTTAAGCAGTTTCGAAACGTAATAGTGAAAATCGAGATAGAATCTACATCTTAATCGGAAAATAACAGGGTTCACGCGGGCTTTTTGAATGAGGCGAGATGTTAATCAGATGATCACTACGCTCCTTGCTTTTCTGCGCGATATGATTCTGAACCACTTAAGTACAGTAGTACTAGCATTTAGCACGACTTCACGGATCTTTAGCTAGGTCAAACGAAGTTTAATAAAGCTATCGTCACTTTACCAGCAGTTTTCAACAGCACGACTATGATAGGGATGTGTTGTGGACTTATCACTTTGATGAATTATGGTTTCCTTTTCTTGGGGTCGAGGGCAACAGTATCCCTCACTTATGTTTCCATTCATCTCTCTTTTGACCATTGCCATGAAGATGCTTTACCCTGGCTATCACGACGGAGAGTACACCATGCATGTTATATGCAGTCACGAATCATCCATGATTCCATGGACAGCCAATCTTCTTTGCAGTTTGCATTACCATGCAACTCACCCATATGGATTCATCTAGCTAGTCAATCATGGGATATTACTGTACTACCTCCGTCTCAGAAAGATCATAGTTTCACGTTATTTATGTTCAACGTTTCACCGTTCGTATTATTTAAAAAATTAAAATTTTTAAATAAGATAGTCAAACGTTAGAGACGAGAATCCACGGCTGCATTTAAACTGGTACGGAGGGACGGAGGTGGCAGGAAGTAGGAACGCACTTGCAGTCTTCCTATGCGGCGGGGCACTACTAGTTCCTAGATTCCGTATATGGCTATGTTTAGTTCAGCGTAAAGTTTATATTTTGGTTAAAATTAGAGATGATATGACTGAAAAGTTATGTGTGTATGACAGGTTGATGTGATGGAAAAGTACTGAAGTTTGGATCCAAAATTTAGATTAAGCACAGCCTATGTATGGTGCTCGTGAGTCGTGAGACACTGAGGCCGGCCGGCGTACGTGCTCCCTGCACAGCGGCCGTGAACAATTTTCCAAGGAGATGCAAGGAAAAAAAGAATCAACAGTTATGGAAGCAGCAACCACCAACATTTTCTACCGTCCCGTCATCTTCTTCTCCGTGCTCCTTTGTTTCCAATACCGTGCCGCCGGCGTTGCATCGGACACGCTCAGCAATGGCCGCAACCTCACTGATGGCGACACGCTCGTGTCAGCCAATGGCTCCTTCACTCTGGGGTTCTTCTCACCCGGCTTGCCAAGCAGGAGATACCTCGCGATATGGTTCTCCGAGTCGGCGGACGCCGTCTGGGTGGCCAACCGCGACAGCCCACTGAACGACACCGCCGGCGTAGTGGTTATCGATGGCACGGGCGGGCTCGTCCTGCTCGACGGCGCCGCCGGCCAGGCCGCCTGGTCGTCGAACACGACTGGCTCGTCTCCATCGGTGGCGGTGCAGCTGCTCGAGTCTGGGAACCTCGTCGTGCGCGACCAGGGCAGCGGCGACGTGCTGTGGCAGTCGTTCGACAACCCGTCGAACACCCTGATCGCCGGCATGAGGCTCGGCAGGAACCCACGGACCGGCGCCGAGTGGTCCCTCACGTCGTGGCGCGCGCCCGACGACCCGGCGACGGGGGGCTGCCGCCGCGTGATGGACACGAGAGGGCTAGCGGACTGCGTCTCGTGGTGCGGCGCCGGCAAGAAGTACCGCACGGGGCCATGGAACGGGCTGTGGTTCAGCGGTGTCCCGGAGATGGCATCGTACTCGTCCATGTTCGCGAACCAGGTGGTGGTCAAGCCCGACGAGATCGCCTACGTCTTCACCGCCGCCACCGCCGCGGCCCCCTTCTCCCGCCTCGTGCTGAGTGAGGCCGGCGTGATCCAGCGCCTCGTGTGGGATCCCAGCAGCAAGGGGTGGAACACGTTCGCGCAGGCGCCGCGCGACGTATGCGACGACTACGCCAAGTGCGGCGCGTTCGGGCTGTGCAACGTGAACACCGCGTCGACGCTCTTCTGCAGCTGCATGGCGGGGTTCAGCCCGATGTTCCCCTCCCAGTGGTCCATGAGGGAGACCTCCGGTGGTTGCCGGAGGAACGCGCCGCTGGAGTGCGGCAACGGGAGCACCACGGACGGGTTCGTGCCGGTGCGCGGCGTGAAGCTCCCCGACACGGACAACGCCACGGTGGACACGGGCGCCACGCTTGACGAGTGCAGGGCGAGGTGCTTCGCCAACTGTTCCTGCGTCGCCTACGCCGCCGCGGACATCCGAGGCGCCGGCGGCGGCAGCGGATGCGTGATGTGGACGGGTGACGTCATTGACGTTCGGTATGTCGACAAAGGGCAGGATCTCTATTTGAGGCTGGCAAAGCCTGAACTAGGTACAACACTGAAACTAATGTGTTCGAGCTAATGTGTTCTTGAGGAGGTACCATAAGGTACCACTTTTTCTATTGTAAATTTGGTACCTTTTGGTAACTAGGTACTATAAGGTACCAAATTTTACACTAAATTTTTGATACCTCATGATACCTTCTTAAGGACCGTAGAATTGCTCAATGTGTTTGGCAATGGTTAATTACATATATATTTCCTTCGCTGTAAAATATCCTAGTACTCGGTTAAACATCGCCTAGTACTCGATTAGAGTCTATAATATTTGTGATGTCTGATTGAGTACTACGTTACTATATTTTAGCGTGGAGGAAGTACTAATTATTTTGGTGAAATATTTCTTTTCGCAGTTAACAATAAGAAGAGGACTGTGATAAAAGTTCTGCTCCCAGTTACAGCAGCATGTTTGCTTCTGCTGATGAGCATGTTCCTTGTGTGGTTACGCAAGTGCAGAGGTAGATACCGAGCCACCTCACTTCTCAGTTCTCACAGCTTATCTAATTAAGAATAATACTACTATTAATATTAAAATACACGATATTGATATTCCTGTCAGGCAAACGTCAGAATAAGGTTGTCCAGAAAAGGATGCTAGGATACTTGAGTGCATTAAATGAACTTGGTGATGAAAATTTAGAACTCCCGTTTGTCAGTTTTGGAGACATTGCTGCTGCAACAAATAATTTTTCTGACGACAACATGCTCGGACAAGGTGGCTTCGGAAAGGTTTATAAGGTAGCCCACAAAAACTGTATTGAAAACTACAGTAGGACAAAACTATCGCACAATATTCTTCAATTTTAGAGCATATTTTTTAGGAGTATTACAGAAGAAGTGCCACAATTAGTACTCCCTCCGTCCAAAAATATAAGAGATTTTGGGTGTCACATCTACCCAAAATCCCTTATACCATAGGACGGAGGGAGTAGTTTACTACTGAAAAGTGAAAACAGTGATACCATATGAAAATCCCAATTATGGATGATGAACTTTATTTTTAAAAAAGGGAGAACCGACAAGAAACATGGTGTTAAATAATTAAGAAGAATGTGTGAGCGTGTTAAGAATCGAATAAGGAACCTTGGGGTCGAAACCACGTCCCTTATATTGCGGTAAAAAGTGCATCTCGAGATGAACTTTCTTAATAAAAAAATTAATTGATTAAATTGTGTAGGGCATGCTGGGTGATAACAAAGAAGTGGCAATTAAAAGGCTTAGCAAGGGTTCTGGACAAGGAGTAGAAGAGTTCAGAAATGAAGTTGTTCTAATTGCCAAATTGCAGCACAGGAACCTCGTTAAACTTCTTGGCTGTTGCATACATGGAGATGAGAAGCTGCTAATTTATGAATACTTGCCAAACAAAAGCTTGGAAGCTTTCATTTTCGGTACTGTTCAAAAACATACCATGCGATCCAATAAACTTCACTCCATGCTTACTGATAGAGAAATTTTATTGTTCTTGAAAAAGTATCTCAAGATACCTAAATTTTACACTAAAATTTTTGGTACCTTGAGATATTTAGTATCTGAAGGTACCAAAATTTACAATAAACAATGTGATACTTACCAGTACTTTCTCAAAGATGATAAAATTATCCTTACTATAAGAACATTGTATACCATTCTTGATAGATCCTGCAAGTAAGTATGCTCTTGATTGGCCAACAAGGTTTAAGATAATCAAAGGAGTAGCTAGAGGACTTCTTTATCTCCACCAAGACTCAAGGTTGACAATAATTCATAGAGATCTCAAATCAAGCAACATCTTGTTGGATGTGGATATGAGCCCTAAGATATCTGATTTTGGTATGGCAAGAATCTTCGGTGGCAACCAGCAAGAAGCCAATACTAACCGAGTTGTTGGAACATAGTGAGTGATCCAGGAATTTGTTTTTTACTATTACATTGATTTCCTGAAAAATCCTTTGTTACTTATTACTAAAACTGTTAAGCAGTGGTTACATGTCTCCTGAATATGCAATGGATGGCGCCTTTTCAGTCAAGTCCGACACATATAGCTATGGTGTTATACTCTTGGAGATTGTAAGTGGTCTGAAGATTAGCTTACCTCGGCTGATGGACTTTCCCAACCTATTAGCTTATGTAAGTACCATGGAATGCTCTATGTCCATAAAAATTCAAAATAACTATACCGCTTTTATATGGACTGATCTATTTCACTGTTTAGGCATGGAGCTTATGGAAGGATGACAAGGCCATGGATTTGGTGGATTCATCCATTGCTGAGAGTTGCTCAAAAATGGAAGTTTTACTATGTATCCACATAGGGCTGTTGTGCGTGCAAGATAATCCAAATAATAGGCCACCCATGTCTTCTGTTGTTTTCATGTTAGAGAATGAAGCTGCAGCGCTTCCAGCTCCAATACAACCTGTGTATTTTGCACATAGGGCCTCTGGAGCCAAACAATCAGGAGGAAATACCAGCAGCTCTAATAATAACATGAGCCTCACGGTATTAGAAGGACGGTAGATTTACTTTTTGCACGCAAAGGCACAAAGCGTTTCCTTTGGACAAGTCCTGTAATCGGATTGTGGATTTCCATAAAATTAATAGAAACAAGAGACATATACTCCCTCCATCCCAAAACATTTGACGCCGTTGACTTTTTTAAAAATGTTTGACCGTTCGTCTTATTCAAAAAAATTAAGTAATTATTAATTCTTTTCATATCATTTGATTTATTATTAAATATACTATTATGTATACATATAGTTTTATACATTTCACAAAAGTTTTTGAATAAGACGAACGGTCAAACATGTTTAGAAAAGTCAACGGCGTCAAACATTTAGGGAAGGAGAGAGTATTAACATTACACTAACTAGAATATGTGGAATATGTGGTTCTCCCAAGATTGTGTGTTGTACAAAAGAATATTTCAACATCCTTTCAGGATCAGTTTCGTCAAATAACTGCTAGTAAGTTGGATGTTTTAGTGTTTCAAGAAGTCGGAAGTTCTACACCAGGTTATACGTACCAAAAAGGAGGAATGCACGGTGAACATGCATAGGAGTAATTAATCTTAAGGAGCTAGAGTAGGATCATAACATATATGCCATATAATTATATTCTACAAAATTTATTATTCTAAGTTTCTAACAAATCTTAACAAATTCCTTAGTACACAAACTTTGATCCCATTGTACTGGAAACGAGTTTCCTTTTTTATTTTCCCAAAGATTATAGCTGATCTTGAAATAGAATTCGAAATCGAAATTAGCAATACCTGGCTTGGATGGGGCTCGCGACGTCGCGTCGTGTCGAGGTGGCACCGCGAACTTGTGTCACCGCCGCACAAGCATGTGACACCCGTGAGCGGCCGGAACAGTGCAGGTTAGGCTCGCCGTGTCTTCCGCCTCATCAGCCGGCTGCCATGGCCGCTAATCCGTCCCCCTCCCTACTGCCTCAGCCGAGCGCTTCTTCTGTCCTCTCCCTAGGCGGCAATGGCATGATGCAACCCCTCCGGCCTCCATCTCGCGCGCGCTGCATTGGGAGCGGCGGACGCCGGGCGTCGGGGCACTTGGACGTGCGGGCCGAGCCGCCCTCCGCCGGTTCACTGCCCCTGTTCGACGGATGGCTCCGCGGCACCCGCGCCCGCTCGCCGGTTGACGTGGCGCCTCCGTGCCGGGGCAGCCGACGTCACTTGGGTCTTCCACCGGCCACCGCCTCAGCCCTCATCCAAGCGCTTCCCTCTCCTGATCTCCTCCGCTACCTCGCCGAGCGGGAGTGCGGGACAATGGGGTTGGACGCGGCGACCCAACGCTGGGTCACCGGCTCACTGCCCGACCCTACTCAGCTCGGCTCACCGCTCTGCCGGTCTCCAGCACTCACGGCTCATCGAATTTTTTTTATTTATAATTTTTTTTATTAAAAGTTTTACAAAAATAATTTTCCATTTTGAAAATTACGGAAATAGTCGCCTACCGCCCTCTGGGAGGGCGATTTTTAAAAATCGCCCTCCCAGAGGGCGCGGAAAATGACGTGGCAGACGGGCGTCACCGCCATTTGCAGGCGGCCCCCTTCCCGCCCTCCGCGAGGGCGATTTTCTACTGTCCGGGGGGCCGCCTGCAAATGGGCGGCGAGGGGGGCATGGAATTTTGCAGGCGGCCCCCTTGCCGCCCTCCGCTAGGGCGATTTTGCACTGTGCGGGGGGCCGCCTGCAAATGGGCGGCGAGGGGGCATGGAATTTTGCAGGCGGCCCCCTTGCCGCCCTGGGGGAGGGCGATTTTGTACTGTGCTCTATATTTTTTTATATAAATATCAATAGTTATCAAATCTTTTTATATTGAAAACTATACAAGATTAAAATCTCCAAGACTGGTAAAATACAATTTTATTATTTTTTAGGGCATATTTGGAATGTTACCGTACAAATATTTTGTTAATGCCAAAATATAAGCAAGTTTTGGCACTACCAAATATTTGGTAAGGTAAAATTGCATTTGATCATATTTGGTTTGCTGCCAAAATGTAAAATTGTAGTGAAGAATGTTGTACATAATCTCAATTCTAGATTACGTATTACCAATTAATAGGCTTCCATTTTCGTGTGTGGTGTGGTAGTGGGAAAGAAGATATGAAGAGGTTGCCTTCAGATTGTCAATTATATAGCGTCGTTTTCACTGCAATACATGTGAACTCAATGAGATACATTATTCATTAGATGTGACAAGACGATCACGCGTGGGCGTGATTCACTTTATGTCAACAGGCAGCGCCGAAAGTTGATAGTGATAACTCGAGCTGCCGCTTTTCATGTGTGCTGTTGTGGACTGTGCGCGCTACTGGATATGGCACTACCGTGAAGCGCCGAAAGTGTGTTGTTGTGAGCATAAGTTGTTCAAGCACCATACGAATGAAAAGAACTACGTAGACGAGACAAACACAAGTAGTACTGCAGTAGTAATAGCAAAAGTAGTACTGCTTTACAAGTTTGTAAGCCAAAAGAAACGGTCACATAAGGACTGAAGAGGTAGAACACTACTGACGAGGCCTCTTACCCCTGTCCCTCCTACCCTGCGCCCTAATGTGCCCCTGGGAGTACGTGAGTCGGTCCGGGGGTACGGCACGGCCAACCCGTCCTGCCTGTACAGGTGTGACCTCTGGCTGCTCCTGAGTGTGCGCCTCTGGAGCTCCTCCAAGCTGAGAGGAGCCTAGTACGTCCTGGTGGTCTGCACCGTGCAAGTCGTCGTCGTAGAACTGGCTAGTAGGACCAGTCCTACCGGCGTGAGACGAAGAGGCCCCAGTACCGAAGATCCCGGCTGCAAATCCTGCTGGACAAGGACCATCAGTTTCGTACAGGTATTTAACAGTATTAATAAAAAGTAAAGTACCGTGTGGGCGAGGGAACGACGCTCCGTGAGAGGAAGAGCTGGCGAACGCGCCCGAAGAGGTGGCGAACGCCCCTGCGGAGCTCGCGGAAGCGCCGGTCGTGCCTGCGAACGCGCTCGAAGGCATACGAGGTCCTGCGATGAGGAAACGTGCAGTTACAACCTGGTGGCACATTCGTGCGAAAGCTGAAACCAAAATGAACTAATATCTGGGCTGAACTGTACCGTGCGAAACCGGTGCTGTAGGTCGCACTGCTCCGAAGCTAGGGGCGCTCGAAGACCAACGAGGTCCTGCTCCGACGGTAGGACCGCGAGGCCGTGGGTGTACCGGACCAGCTGGAGGTACGACGTCCACGGCGCTGCGACAGGAGAAGACGCGCATGACCGCACGCATCTTCTCCTGCATCCGGTCGAAGGTCGACCTCTGCTCAACGTCAGTCAAGTGCAAACCTCTGCTCAACCTCACCTGGACTGCGGTGATATCGGCACTGATATCCCGTGCCGCATCAGCCTATGCAAGATGGAAATAAAAAATTCAGTAGTTGTCCTATATTATGCAAGATAAATGACATAATTGTTGGAAGTAATACCAATTGGACGTACCGCCACGAAGTAGTCTCGGTCACGGTGCGTGGGATACGCGTCCGTGACAGCGGCAACGTGCGGCTCTGGGGCGTCTGGAGTGAAGGTCACACGCGCACGAGTGCGAGGAAGGTACCAGCGAAGGTAGTCACGGTAGTTCTCCTCCGTGTGTGGGAAGAGCTCGTTGATCACCTCCTCTGTAGCTAACACCCAGTCGTCAACGTACTGCTGTACACGTGGAGCCCAAAGTGCGCCTGCTAGCTGTCCCCGTCGAGTCAACCTGTGAAGAGAGGTAAATTGTATGGCTCGATGATGTAATTATCATAAAAATTTAGAAATGAACAATCCGAACTCACGAGTGGTCGGCAGGGGGGACGGTCGGCTGCACGTTGCCCGGAAACACCTGCCTAAGTCCGAACTGTCGCATCACACGCTGCGGGCAGTGAGGCTCAACGAAAATGTCGAACACCATCGGCAGGATGGTGAGCCAGTAAGCCTGGTCGCGTGTGCACAAGGACGAAAGTCCTAGCGGTGCTCTCGCAGCGACGGCCTCTTCTGTGTACGGCTCCCAGATGACGTCGCTCGGCTGGAGACGGTCAAACTCGAACACGAAGTCCGGGTAACCACGTCTCACCTGGACGTGAGCGTAACGACGCTGCAATAAACATGATCGGAATTAGACATGTTATGTGAAGGAAAAAAAAAGAAGAGGACTGATAAACTTATAACGCAGCGAAGTTGCACTAACCCCACGTCGACACCAGTAAGTCCCCATCGTGGGACCGTCCTCTGGCCACTGCGCGCTGCGACCAACCCCGTAGGGTGCGCTGTCCACCACTGGTCGACCTATGGCAAACCTCTCGGCTGCCCAAAGCTGAAGCAACATAGGGCAGCCAGCGATGATCGCTCCCGCGTCAGTCTTCGTGCACGCCTCACAGAGGGCACGGTACGTGGCTGCTAGCACGGCAGAACCCCAGCTCCACTGCGGCACGTCCTGTGGCTAAGCATCCGCGATGGACCGTGCGTAGTGGACCAGCCGGAAGTCCACAGCGTGCCCGTGGGTGCTAGTGAACATCACCCACCCGAAAAACCACAACAGGTACGCCTCAAGGGAGCGTCGGACCGAGTAATCATCAGCGTCAGGGTGCAGAAGGTCCGCCTACACTTAAGAATGAAATGTTAGTACAAAACACTCATCCGGTCGCAAATAAGCATGTATGATAATAACAACTTATTTACTTACAGTGAACTGGAGCAACCAAGCCTGCTAGGCCCGACTGTAGAGTACGGAGGAAGGGTGGTGGTCGGTCCTAGGTGTGGAAGGCGCATCACCTGCTCGAAGCGCGCAGTGATATCCTCCTTCCACCCAAAAACACCGTCGACGGGACCAACTGGTGCTCCCGCCAGCGGTAGCCCGAGCAGGTACGACACGTCCTGCAGTGTCGGAGCCATCTCCCCACATGGAAGGTGGAACGTGTGCGTCTCAGGTCTCTAGCGGTCTACAAGAGCGGCAAGGAGTGACCGGTCTGCATCCCACCGCTTCGCTGGGTCACGGTCGTCCGCCGCCGCCTCAACAAGCCTACAAAGTGGTAGAAGGCCTGCCGCACGCAACCTGTATAGAGCAAACTTCAAACATAAGTGCAACACAAAGCAAAGTTGAGTTGAA